CCTTCTCTTTCTTTTTTTTTTTTGTGGGTATTTCAAAAGACCAGATATTTGTTATTCCACTTGATTTACACTATTTTGGGGACTTTCAACTCTATTATCATTTGACCTATTGAGCTCTTCATTTTCAATATTTCAGTTCAGTTCTTTTTCAAAATCCTTTTGCTAAATTTCTCATTCATATCCTGACTTGTCTTCTGAATGTCTTTAAACTGTTTGTATTCTTAGAACCTACTAAAATTTTTTTATAATTATTAAGGTCTTTATCAAGAATTTCTTTCACTTTGTTGTCTTTGGAATCTGTGCTACAACATTATTATATTCTTTTGAAGGCATATATTACCTTGTGCATTTGTATTTTGCTCCTGTGTTGAGCTTTGGGCACCTAGTAGAGCAGATATCTCTACCACTTTTATGAGGTGGCCTTCTTAGTAAGTGGCTGAATCCCAAAGCTGTGCCTTGGGGGGTTGGTTGGTTATGCAATGTTGGCTTTGATTCTAGATGTGCACCAAAGTATAGTCTCCCTATAACTTCTATGGCTGTAATAAATGACTTTGGAGCCAGAATATACCATGGCAGAATTGAAGAGACCCACTGTCTCTGTAGTCTCCATGAGAATGGGGACTTTACCAAGTAGTTGTGGTATAGACAGAATGGATATGGAATTCTCACTGTGTGGCTACCTTTATCATAGGAGGCGTAGTCCCCAATTCAAGGATGATTGGCGTTTTCTCAGGCACTATGGATACTAGCCCTGGTACTAGCAAGGGACCCTGGTTCTGGAAGCCCCTGAAGTGGGGAGGGGCCTGAAGAATTTGACTTCTGTACAATCAGAGGGGTAGGCTCAGTTGTGCTACAGGGAGAGGCCATAGGGGAAACCTCTCTCTGTGTTGCTCCCACCTAATAGCAGTGTTGGCTAGGATGAGGTAATGGAGGGGGATAACTGCTTCTTTGGTGACAATTCCTGCCCAGGCTAGAGCTGGGAAATTTTTCTTTGGGGGCCTCCTTTGGCTGTGCACACCCATGGACAGGGATAATGGCTGGGATTTTATCCCTCCAACTCCTTCAGTTTTAGTGCCTGCCCGAGAGCAAGGAGGAGTGAGACATAGCTAGAGCCAAGTAAAGTTGCTTTTGGCCCACTTCTGCAGCGTACCAGGGTCAGGGTGACGGCTAGAGCCATGGAGTTGATCAAGACTCCCACACTATGGCCCATTGTAGAGGGCAGCCGTGAGAACTGTGGTGTTCCCTTCCCACCTTGTCAGTAATAGGAGCTTGAGAGTGGTACAGGGGCAGGGATAGCAGGAATTGGGTGTCTACCTTCAGTCCTAACACTGGCATGAGTCCACGTGTGGGTCTAGTACCTTCTGTTCCCCTCCATATCACAATAACCTGCCTACAGCGCAGGACACCCAGCAAGTTCGGGTCACAATCAATATCCCGGTCTGGTCCAAGTTGGGTTTGTGAAGCAGCTGCCCATCATGCCAATGTAGTGGAATGTCTGTGGAACCATGGAAATGGGAATGTGCAGGAATTTCTGACCCATAGAGCAATACAAATTCAGACAATAGCTCCCTTCTCTAGCTGACTCCTGGCTATAGCACACTGAGGGTTCGTTGCTAGGTGATGTGAGATTCTTTCCCAAAGCAATGCTATTGTGCAGATGATGATTACTTATCTAAATGGACTGAGAGCTTATAAGGATTGTGAAACTTTCCAGAAGCAAGGACTGACAGCACCTGCACTGACAAGAGTTTGCTTGAATTCTTTCATCCTTATTCCTGCAAAGGGGAGACTCCCTCTCCCAACGGTGCAGCCATGGTGCAGACAGCAGGGGATTTTGTTCCTTTTACTAAGCTATTGTCCAAGATCTCTGAGTCTTAAGTTTCAGCCTCTGATTTCCAGTGTTCTCCTATGGTCACTCCCCTCAAAATGTAGCTATAGATCTGCTACTTTGGTTCCTCCTTTTGGAGGAGGTAGTAAGTGTTGGACATTTCTTTTCAGCCACCTTGAATCTCAAAATTAAGCCTTTTTAATAAGGTGATATTTGCATCTTTATTGAGATTATCAGCTATACTTCTGAAGTTCTTATTTTTTTCCCCTTGGTACATTCTTTTCTTTGCTGAGTTTTGTGTTTGATTCATAATTGTGGCTTCCCACTAATGTTGGGTGATTCTTGATTGTATACAGATTTTTGTACTAAAATTTCCATATTAGCCTGTTATATTTATTCTATAATTTTCACATTGGAGAAGTGGGGCAGGCTGTTAGGCCTATTTAAAATATTTATTTAGTTGTAGTTGGACATATACCTTTATTTTTTTATGTGATGCTAAGGATCAAACCAGGGTCCCACCCATGGTATGCGAGCGCGCTACTGCTGAGCCACAACCTCAACTCCTGTTAGGCCTCTTTAAGTGTGAAGGAGATAGTGGGAGAAACTTCTAGGTGGCTGTGCTCATTGCTAATAATTTGAATATAGAGAATCCTTTTCTCCTTTCTCCAATTCAAATACCTCGCTCTCTGTTCCAGTCTGGAAGAAATCATCTCTATTGCTCTGTGTTACCCAATCACAGAGTGGTTGTATGCAGAAGTCAAAATGCCCAGCTAAACCAGGCATGGTGTTGCACTCCTGTAGTACCAGCAGCTTGGGAGGCTGAGGCAGGAGAATCACGAGTTCAAAGCCAGCCTTAGCAAAAGTGAGGCACTAAGCAACTCAGTAAGATCCTATTTCTAAATAAAATACAAAATAGGTCTGTGGATGGGGCTCGGTGGTAGAACGCCCCTGAGTTCAATCCCCAGGTCCCCCCCCCCAAAAAAAATGCCCAGCTATTGACAGTCACTTCAGGATCCCAGGACACATGGATCAAACTTCCTTGTTTGGAGCACCCTTGCAGCTGTCTTTTTCAACAGTACCTTCTTTCATGTATCTTGAACTATGGGTTTGTTCTTAACTCTGCTCCATTTGTCTATCTTTCAAGAATGCATTATAATCACTGGCCCAGGCATTACACTGTTTGTCATGGTCTAGTGTAATCATGGATTGATGAAAACATCTTTTAAGTCATTTTCAAGGCTTTGAGGCAAGAAGAGGGACGTTGTAGCAGGTACTCATTCTGCCATTTTGAAGTAAAAAAATCTAATGTTTCCCAGTGATGCGTAAAATACAGAATTAGCTAGTAGTGGAATTTTTTTTAAAAACATACTGCTTATATATGAGAATCAGGCCAATGTATATTTTTACTCCATCCGTAATGGGTCATAATTCAGCCTACCATGGGCCTTGTTATGTATAAAATCTTGATGATATGCAACTGTACAGCTAGAATGTTTATGTGGCAGTAGATCGTCCCTTCAACATTGATTTCTCTACACCCCTCCTTACCTACCCATTCTGAACAAATGGTATAAATTACCACCACCAAAGGGTCTTGACTCTTATGTTTTGGTGGACTTGCTATGATTCCTCAGGCACTGTTAACTCTGAAATTCAATGGTCTTAGTCTTAAGGAGGAACCTTACAACTCGGCAACGTAGATGTTACCTTCATTTGTCACATGAGGAAACTGGGGCTCAGTGAAGCCAATCAAATTCTGCTAGAGTCAAATGTTGAGCTTGCAGACATCTGCCTGTCTAAAGTCAAATATTATTGATTCAGCATAAGTCAGCATACTTTACTATGGCTCCATCTCAACGTGATGATTCTCTTCTATAATTTCTATTGTATTTTCTCAAATTCTCATGCCCAAAACAAAATCTCACCAGGTTGAACTGTGTTGGTTTTTGCAGTCAAAAGATGGTCAATAATGACTGTCTTTAAAGTCGGCAAAATTAGGTTGAAACAGAATGGAGAAGATTTTACTTTTTAGTAGCCAACATATGCATTCCTCAGAGGTGCCTTGAGCCTGCTAGGAATTCACCTTGACAAGGCAGAGTAAGGCAGGCTGCTCTTTCCAGGAATGGCTACAAAAGTTTCTCATGGAAAAAGAGTTTGTCCCCGAGGTAGAGGGAGGAGGAAGCTTATGGCAGAGTGCAAATTCTGGTAATTCGGGGAAATAATTAGGATTGCTTCAAACATTAGGTTTACTGCTTCCTCAGATCAAGAAAACTATCTGGATTTCAAGGAAGCTTTCACTAGATCTAAGATAGTATTCTTCATGTGTGTCTTGAGCAACAAGAACCATGAATTGGGGACCAAAGCTGTGTTTACACATATGGCAGTGGTATGCATTCATTAAGTGTTCATTGAACTAAGGAATAATCATCCCAATTAAACTGTCAGTATTTTACTGAGTGTCACATAAGATAATCTGCATTTTCTACAGTGCCTTAAGCATGTGCTAAAAATGTGAAAGGCATTCATTAAAAGCTAGATTCTGATTGTCAGTCTCTCAGCTTTCAGACTGGTAAAAATATTCTGCCATGATATGGAAATTAACCTTTGTCCCAGGGAAGATCAGATCATAAACTTGTAAAATGATCACATAAGAGTGCCACTCATTTTGATTGACATACTATGTCATTTAAAGTTGGGGCTAATAAGGGAGTCTTATTCCACCATGTTATTTCTGATTTCCAAGTAGTATATGTATTCTCCTATTTATGTATAGGTCATGTGTATATTTTTCCAATGGTGTGTAAGCTTCTTAAATAGTTTTACTATTTCTTTAGGCACTATACTAGAAGGGAATGACTAATGTTGTAATAATTTGGTAACTAAATTAAGTTTAATTTTAATCCTTCTGGATTAAAAGACGGCTTTATCACAAACTAATTTAAGAAAATCTCTAAAGATCATTCTAAAATTTTAACTACATTATAATAGTGAATGGTGCAAATTAAGAAATCTCTGAATATTAAATACCTCATTATAAGCACATTTTAAAAATGACTTTTGTTTTATATTTAAGATAATTATCTGTATTACCACCATCCCATGGGAGTGTTAAGGTAATTAACAGACATCTACTCAAATTAAGGAACAACATTTTGAGTAAGACAAAAAACACTGAGATTAAATAATTTATTACCATTGCTAAGATGAACACATACTTAATACTCAATTTTATGTGGTACTTTAAAAAAATAGTTTTAATACAGTATCAAAATTTACACAAGTATTTTGCAAAAGACCAGCGTCCCTTGTATTAGCTTCTGCAGATTCAGCTGCAGGCACAAAAACTTGTTTTAAACATTTTCGAGTGTAGGAATACAACAATTTAAGGATAAAAGCACTTCTATGAGACAAGGTATAAATATAGCAACCAATTTAATAAAGTAATACTTAATACATTTTAAAAGAAAGCAGCTTAAACTAACCCGATTGTGATAGAAATAATTCTATAATAAATTATTTTCTGAAACTAAAGAGCTGTTTTTCATCAGTTACCCTTTCTTAAAGTATAATGAAATCCCTCTACATTCTCTCACCATTGAGCATTAATACACTGTGTAATGGGCCCACTTTAAAACAATGAATATTTGCTATGAACCAAATCTGAATAATTTAGAAGATGCCTAAAAATTGTTGCATCCCTACTTTTGTAATCTTGAACTACAGTAAAAATGTAGCATTCTGTCACAGGCCTCTTGCACATTCATACAAGAAACTATCATTGCATTTAGATAAACACAAATACCTATCGTAGCATTTCCAATACACACATTCTAATATTATATGTATACCAAAAATAGGAAATAAACTAAGCAAAGCTAACACACCTCTGTTTCAAACCTCAAGCAATCTGAACAAGAGCTTTTAGCCTTAATAATGAAGGACATGCGTTAGTTTCAGAAAATGCTAGATAGCTGCGGTAGGCAAAGAAAGCTTTTTTCATAAATGCAGTGCAATCTTGTAAAGTTTACATAAAGTTTATTAAATATACAGCATGTCTAGAAACTAAATTGTAGAAATTGACATCTCACAGCTCGAAACACTTAGAAAAATTTATTTTTAGTTGAAATGGATATACTGAATGAATATAGAGGTTGGTCTGTCCCCAGAATGTTTTTATGAGCAACTCATCAAGATTAAAAGGTATTTTTTTATCAATCAAAATAAGTGGTACTATGATAGGTACTCTACAAACTCTTGCTACCCTTCTAGCTGGCTAAGAGAAATGATGTGGTCTTCGCAGCAACTCAAATCAAAACCCCAGAGACCAAATCTACTTGCATCCAAATAAAGGATGCATCAGGAACTTTTCTCAAGGGAAGTATAAGAAGGTGCCCAACTCTCAACTTTGGGTAGCTGGCAAACCTCTCCAATACAGCTTGGTAGAAAGTTCCCACCATTGTATGCTATGAGTCAATTCTTATCAAAACTCTTTCCAACCATGCAGTTTTCCCAATTACGTTCTCAGTTCTGGGGAGTTAAAAATGCTTTTGTTCTAATGAAAATATTGGTACCAAAATGGCGACTCTTTTTTCCCAAAGCTAACTTGTTTGTCATGAACACTAAAGTGAGACACAGAATATCAGCTTGATGGGGGAAGTGTGGTACTGAGGGTTTCAGAGGGGAGATATGTGCAATGTACAATCACTCCATATTATTCCATGAGTCCAGGTTTGTGGAAATCCACTCGTCTCTTCCTTTATCTCTGTCTGGCAGTGGTGATCTCAGGTTTGAAAAAAAGAGGGCTTCTCACATGGGTCCTTTGTACTGGTTTCCTGATAAATGTTGCCTAATTCCAGGACATGAACCTGCAGCATCTCCAAGTTTCCTCCACACAACCTTAAAAAAGAAAGGTAGAGAGTAAGTGTCTTCCTTGTCCTTTCACAGGGATTTGTAGGTCTTAAGGTGGGACTTTGAGGGGGGGGCAAAGATGGATGTGGAGACAAGAGACAACATATTCACACGAATGAGTTCACACACAAGATGTGATGAGCTTCTGAAGCACAAGGACTGTTCTACCTTGCTAGCAACCACAGTCAAAATTAAAGAACATGGTGCCCATTTACTCAAGAGCTTAGCATACAGCCAGAGTTAAGGACCACTTAGGGAACTCTTCAACAGTAACTCCCACCTTCAGAAATTCTCACCTCACTGGAGGTGAACACTGGCATCTGTTTTGTTTTTTAAAGCTCCCCAAGTGATTCTGATGCATAGCCAGAATTAAGAAACCTTTAGCAAGATCATCCTAAAGCATACATGAAATGTCTAATTCACTTAGGAAAATGAAGGAGCTTTTGTTCTTGAACTGGTCTTAGTAAATTTCGGTGGACCTCTCTACAAGCAGGAGCCTTGGTGGTCACAAATCTTAGCTACTAAATAATTCTTTCAGATTTCTAAAAACAAAACATCCAAACAGAGAAGAGATCTTTGAAAGTCATAGTTATAACCTGTTAAAAATTGGGACACGTTAGAGGGATGTTTGCAAAAGTGAGATCAAAAATAAATATAGCCAGACGCGGTGGAGCACGCTTGTAATTCCAGCATCTCGGGAGGCTGAGACCGGGGGGATCGTGAGTTCAAAGCCAGCCTCAGCAATGGTGAGGCACTAAGTGAGATCCTGTCTGAAGTGGCCCTGAGTTCAATGCCCAGTAGCCCCCCCCCCCAAAAAAAAAAAAGTAAAGGAAAAACCAATGCAATTCATCACTATTCTGTCATTATATTAATTGGAGTAATCCTGACCCACATGCATGCACACACAACAGCCAAAACCTTCCTAGAGTTTTTCACTATGAGGATTATGTCAGATTAATTCCACAAAAATTGACAATGTTCTCACAGGAACATAAAACTGGTTTCTTCATTAGTTACTGTTTGTTATTATGCTATTGCTTTATAAGTAGGTGAATGTTCCAGGGAAACACAATATCATTCACTTATTACTAAGAACAAAGGTCTATCTTCATTTCTAGGCCAATGGAACTATTAGTATGTGTTTCAGCAGATAACACTGTTGTCAGCAATGTCCTGTTGTACGCAAGGGGAATTACAGCTATGGTCCTTGAATATTAGGAAAGGAATTATAGCACAATGCGAAGCAAGCCAAAAGATACTATGAGGGGCTAAAAAGGCAAAGTTCAATGTAAGTCTACTTCCCACAATGTGTGGATTGGAACTTTGAGGCCTTACAAGGATCAGAGACACAAAGCATCAGCTGGCCATTCTCAAGTGCAACTCCTCATAAATTGTCCAAATTTGAAGCACAATGGGCCTTCACCCAAACAGGATGTAGAGAAAGGAAACAGTGGCAGAAGTCTGAATTAAACCAATGATCCTAAGGGGGACACAGGAGTAGTGACTGGGTAACTGAAAAAAATAAATTAGTTGGTGTGCATTTGAGAGCACGACTGAAATCCCTGGTCAAGTATTTCATCAGTGAGTTTACAAAAGCTAAACAGACAAATAAAATGAAAACATTACTACAAACATTATCTCTGGGAAGAGAATAACCAAGTAAATGCTTACTAACCCACATCATGGTTCCACTATACAGAAGGCAATGATTTATCTCTAGGAAGAATATCAGAAATAATGGCAAATCCCCTTATCCTAAGTTTTCCCGCAGTCTTACAACTGACCGTATGCAAAACTGGTTTTCATGCTATTATAAAAGCATATAGTTCCTCCAATAGGAGCCCAAGGCCTCATAATCCTTACTAGGTTGAGAAATTATCTACGAAACTTCCCTGTAATCTGCGTTTTTCTCATGGTATATTGGTATAATGGTGACAAATATTTTAAGTTAACACTTCTTATCTTTTAAATCATTTTCAAATATGGGTGCTTAAGAATCATGTAGGGTTAGGATTGTATTTTTTCCCCTCAAGTTCTAGGAATCAAGGAAGGTATCTTTTCTATGTTAAAAGTTCTTTAGTGTAAGTTTTTTATTTTTTTTGTTTGTTTGTTTGAAAGGACCTTACATAGTGAAAAACATCAGCACTGTATGATGCTATTTGAAGCATTTATGGAAATACAGGCAAACAAAAATATCAACACAAAGCTCTTTAAGACCAATGCAGTGGTTGCTTTCTTCTCAGACAAAAGATATTAATTTTCTCATGTCCAGAAATCCTTTATAAGGGAGTACAAGAAACAATCCTGGCACTGAGATATTAGTGCTTTTTGTTCTTTAGGAAATTCCATGATTTCTGAACTTGGGAAAGAACTAGTCCTTAGGGGAGATCTGGGCCTACTCCTGACTTCATTATTCAAGATCTCATGTATGGATCTTGGTTCATTCAAACATAAAATGTGAAAGTTGGAGTTCTTATCTGAATCATCTGTGGATAGAGCTGATTAGATGAAACTCCATCTTTATCCGATTACCCAGGAGCTCCATACTCTTTGGAGATCACAAGAGGATGACTGAGGTTCCTTCTAGTTCTATAATTCCTATTGTCTGAACTTTATTTCTCATTACATAGTCAATATATGAGAAGTAACAGGCACTCTTAGGCATGTAGCTCAATGTTTTATCTAAGGAAAATATTCAAGTTAAAGCTACAGAAGGTGAAAAATGGGTGTTCTAGGAAATTATGGCATCTATAACTAATTATATTTTAAAAACAGACAACAGATATGCAAGAAAAAAATACACACAACTTGGAAAAGGTTGCAAAATAAAAAGCAGCCACAACACCGGCAAGCAGGAGCTAAAAAAAATCTCACCACAGCACATATAAAATGCCCATGGGACCTGTGTTAACATTTACTGGATTCCAGAAACATCTCAAGGAGGTCAATAAAGGTTTGAGAATATCTGATTCTAACAGAAATACCCTTTAGCTTCAGGTCTAAGAAAGTTTGCTATCCTAATGGAGAAAAGAATAAAGATAAAAGTATACTATAAAGCCAATTACAACTAGTTGCTTAATATATGATCAGTGCTTAACCATGATTTCTTGAATTTAACAAATGGCTTCCTCTATCAGATTTCAATTAGCTCTTTAAAGTTTCACAAATGTTTTCTTAAAAATTTAGTCAGCCATTAAAATCCACGTTAATTACAATGGATATACTTTATGAAAAGAGCTTTCTGTGTGCTCCTCTCTTGACGCATGGATCACCTTCCCTATTCTTCTGTCTCGCCTTTCTATACCCTGAGTTCATGGCAACTAGTGAAAGGTAAAGACAATATTTTTCATGACATGAAGAACTAAGAAAACATTACCCAAAAGTTCATTATTTTCAAGAATAGATACAAATAAATCTGAAGGTTATGTCTTATCTATTTTTAAACACTGATCTTTAAAGAATGTCTTAAGTGACAATCCATTTAGGAAACAAATGTTTAGAAAATGTTCATAGATCATTCTGGAATACAGAATTGGCAGATCATTTCTTTTTTTTTTTTTTTTTTTTTTTTTTTTTGCAGTGCTGGGGATTGAACCCAGGGCTGTGCACATGCTAGGCAGAGCTCTATCACTGCGATACATCCCCAGCCCTCTGATTGGAATATTTTATAATAGGATTATTTTTAATAAACCTGCAATAAAACATTGAAGATAAAAACAAAGGCAATTGTATTATAAAAATGAAGACATTTGGTCAACACTTTTAAAGTAGTCATAAAGCAATAACTAAGCTATGATGAGGCTTTCAACACAGAATACACAATAAAGCACATTAAACTTACATTGCACATTTCTCTGACTATAGCTTTTTCTGTCTCACTAAGGTCATGTTCATACTCTTTACCCTGTTGACGATCTATAGTTTCCTGAACATCCAAGACCTGGATTTGTTGAAAAAGAAAAGCAAATTTCACATGGGAAATTGTTAGTTGTGATAAAACCATGAAAGACCTCCATTTTGTGTTTAAAAAAAAAAAAAAAAACCTTTAGTTTTCTGTTTGCATATCAGAGCGGAATACTATGTGGCAAAACCTATCTAGAATAAAATCAACTTGATTTTCAAATGGTCATTAAAAGTAACTCATTTTATCATTAATAGTCAACTGAATTCATTAAAGTCTAAATCAATTTGGTGCATTTAATTCGGTCATTAAGATAACCTAATAATGTGTACTATTTGGAGACAGTCAATACCTCTTAGTCCATTGTGGTTGTGAGTAATGTAATTATATGCCAAACAGTCCAAATGATATGTAGACATGGCATATAGAAAAGACAACTAAAAGAATATACATATAATAACTAGTGCTCTCAGTTCTTGCCTGAACATATTCCTTGTTACCAAAGAGCCATTTCCACTTTCTCTTTTGGGTACTAAGAAAAACACTAGCTTCTTAGGATGAAAATATTTGACATTAGAGTGAAATGTCTGGGGCTGAAGCGTTTTTAAACAACTTTACAGGCCTATCTTTCTACTCCTAAATTGGTTTAAAAACAATGTTCATTTAATAATATCTAAAATTTTCACATGGATATTTTCTATAATCCAAAAGGAGAGAACTTTGAGTGCTTCTGGTCGTTCTTCTCCCTATCAATCGACTTTTAAATCAGAGTTAATGACTTTCCCGAAGGCTCCTGCTAACCTAGCTGGCTCTATTGTCTTCATGGTCCATACTGATGGCCACATCTAAAACTGCCTACTGAGAATTTGCAACAATGAACAGTAGGGACCTTTATGTCAAGTTCATCCATATTGAGACTAATTAGAGAGTTTATGAATTGGATGTATTTACAGGATTAAACTGCCATCTTGTTAATTTAAAAATCCTAGCCATTACTATATAGATACCATTTCCATAAAGTCCTGACACTTGCTTCTTCTTAAATTACATTCTTTACATACCTAAGGGAAATTATTGACTTTGTTCAGTGAATATTCATAGAAAACTTTAAAATCACCTTGAACAAGCAGCTCATTTGCCTACAAATTTGATTTGTAATACACCTCACAAAGATGTACTTCAAATCAGTTAATTTCTACTAAATGAAGTGAAGTCCAATCATGAATTTGAAAGCCAAAGAAATATGGTCTTATTACAAATGGGCTAATTTCTCACGTAACACTCCCCCTACAAAACATGATCGTAATTTATTAAACCCAGAGTTTTCCTTAGAATCCATCAGAAAGGGAGCCATTGTTCTTATAATTCCTTATAATTCCTTTAGAACACAAACTTCATGATATAAATCAAATTTTTAATAGAGACCTTCTTAAGATGCATTTTCAAAAGAATGTCTGCACTGTTAACTGTATTGTTTTTCAATACAGTTAACTCAGAACCAAACATCTCGTATTCAAGGGCCTGTAGTTATACAATAAAGATGTTTCAGTTGCTCAGTATCACCCATCTGCCAACCAAGGACACTTAAATGCTCTGATTAATACATAATATCTTCTTCTCTTGAGTTAAAATTTGACATGAAAATTAGAGAATGAATTCAGAGAAAATTGAGAAGCCCTTCCTTGCCCTCCCTTTCCTTTGAGGCTACACTAACAGCTGCATTGAAAAGTCAGAAGATTTCAACGTGACCCACTATGCTGATCAAATAGATTCAAAGAGCCCTTGCCCTGTAACAAGGCAACAGATTGAGACAGTTGGATTAAGAGGGCGAGGTGCTGCTTTTGGAGTTTGTCTAGGCACTACAATGCTACAAATCTGACGACTCTCTGGCCCATTTTCCTTTTCTGAAATGCTCTTCAGATGGCTAGTGCCCGATTCATGTTAAAGTTCATCCAAATACTGCTACAGAGAGCAAGATGTTCAGTCAGTCAGCCAAAACCCCTCATTCTGGCTGTACTGTCCCTTGAATTCCTCTCAGTTGCTCACTTTGTAAATTATTCTAGCCAAGACAAATAATGCATTGCCAATGGCCACCAGCCTGATTCTCCTACCTTCCCTCATTAAAAATCAGTGTGTGTTTGGAAAAACGCACTCATATAAGCTAATGCAAAATATATGGAGAGCGCTAAGCCTTCTGCTACAATTAAATCACCACAAGAACTGAACATTTCTCATCTGCTTTACACAGGTTGTGAAAAGGGTGCCACACTCCAAAAGAGGGCATCTTCAATCTTAGGATTAATCATTCCAAAATTGAAACAATTTTCAGAATAATTATAAAACATATGTAACAAAACAGAACTAAAGCATTCTACCTACATTAAGGATACCTGTTAGGTAATGAAAATCTTAAAATTTCAAGGATTTGCTTCAATTTATCAGTCCCATAGTATGAAATCAAATGTATCTATAATTCCTATTAGTTTGTGTTAATCAACTTTACTTATTAGAAAATTCATTGTTGGTTAAAGATACATTTTACCCCAAATTTTGTGAAGTCATCACAGAATCTGAAGTAAAAGTCAAAAATAAATTAGCTTAACATAAGACCATACAACTGTTTTTTAATGTTCTTCAAATTCCAGTTAATGCTGTATTAAAGACCTAGTTTCTACACAGAAGAGTAGGCTGCTATTTCTGTACTATAAGTTGAACAATGTACTTCAATGCATAAAGTGAAATAGAGTACCTTCCTCATTTTGACCAACTATTCACTCCCTACTTCTGAAGACATCCATGCTACAAACATTGCACACATACCTATAACAATATTTCACACATATGGATATGCATGCATAGACTTCAACTTCAATGCATATAGGTATGAATCACATTACTCAAAACAAAATGATAAAAATAGAGATCCAACCACAAGTACTCAAACCCACTGTTAGATGAAGATTAAAAAGTCATAGCATAAGGGATCAAAAAAATAAAGTATCTACGGTTAAAGCAAGACTGTGAGGATAACCAGAATACAGCAAACAAGCCACGACACAACTGAGGTTCTGGATAAATGGTTGCACACAGTTCGTTACCTTAAGAGAATGTACCACAGGTTCAGGCTGCTGAGAAGGTGTGGTATGTCCACTGAAGCTAGCTGGAGAGTTGGGTGAACTGTTACTCCCATCAGCCCCTGATGACAACCTAAAAGAACCCTTAGTAGAAAATCAACAACTTTGTTATTAAAACAAAAGTCGTTTATAACTACATAGATGTCATTCAATATGCAATCTCACTGCCAAATGAGAATTAGCATCTTGGGATAGCATAGGAAAAAAATGGCTATCAACCTGCTAATTTGAGTTTACTTGCTGTTTGACCTGCAAGAAAACTAAGACATCCAACAGGTCCAGATGTCAACTCTGATTTATCAAAGAAAGCAATGTCCCCCAAGGAAAGGCCATTAACAAAATTTCAAGAATAACATTTGAATCTTAAAGATTCTCAAGAGCAGGGGAATTCATGAATTACTCCATGGCTAAGTTCAATGTGCTCATTCAGCAGGTTAAGTGCTACCTTCCATGTGTCTCAGTAGATATAGACACATCACATTCTTGGACTGAAGAAACTCTCTTATGAACTGTTCTTTGAGGGACGACCTGTAGCAGAGCATTTTTGAAAAAGACTGGAGCAATTCAGCATTTTCTTCAAGGGATTTCTCTCATTTTTATAGGCTTTTTAAAAAATGTAAACCAAAATAGATACAAATTAAATAGTTTACTCATTCAACTCAAATGGTGAGAAATCAGAAGTGAGCATGATTAATTAGACCTGTGTGAGCCACAGTCATCTATCTGTACATGAACTGGGAATCTCTCCCAGAGGTCAGTCCTTTTAATAAAGATTGCTTGCAGAAAGACTAATGGATTAGTAAAGGAACAGAGAGCAGCAGTTATCTATTCTCAAAATATATATATAGGAGCAGGAATGGAAATTTGGGGATTTTCCAAACGTGTTGTTAAACAAATGTATCCATTTTGCCATGTCTAACAGATTAATCACTGTTCCGTTTGATCTTACCAACCTAGTCCCCTCAATAGGAGTCCCTGAAGGTGTATCATATATGAATTCATGAAGGGAAAGAAAAGGTGATTTGGGATATTAAATTGCAACATCTCTAGGTAAGCTTTTGGGGTACATTTTAGGGATGGGAAATGTGTGCAAAGCAACCAGTACAAGTGTGTGCTGTATGCATCCAATGCTATTTACAGAAAAATGAGCAACCCCCAGTGATTTTTACAATGATCACTATTTGTGCAATTTGGAATATTTTCTCTCCTTGGTGCCGTCATGTCTTCCTATGTCCCTGAAGGATCCCTTTGCCTACTTGCAAGCCTTCTAGGGCCATGTTCATTTCCCTGAGAGTTGGGCAATCTAGTCAGGTCTTCCTCTACCCACACTAGCCAACAAGTAGAGGAAGCAGTGAAATATGACACTTCGGTCACTTCTCCAGCTTCTGCCTTCTATTGCTACTAACTTCAACTGAAAGCAGTTGATGAAACAGGTCAATTATAAAAGGCCAATGGAAAGTGAAATCATAAAATTTGTTTTCCTGTATTGTGTAACTCAGATCAAATAAGACATAATAATTCCTGATACACATCATAGAAGGGAAACTATTTGAAGTTTAAAAATGGTTGAGACATACCCTCCCGCTAGCTCCACCACAAAATTTTAGGACAACTTCTCTGTCAAGAGCAAATAATTCCAAAACTATGGAGTACAAAGGAAGCTCCTCTTCCCTGAATAACCCATGTCCTTGGGCGTTGTGTTTGCTTCCCCCTAGTGGTATGGCCCTTCAGAACTCTTCAGAAAAGACTCCTGGAAATTATACAGAGTTCACTTCACCTCACAGTGCCATTTTTTCCTCTGCTAATCTGGTTTTCTTGTGATGGGTAACCTGATTTTTATCTCTGGGCTATCCTTTTTTCTCCAATTCTTGCTTTCAAACACTCTCTGCCCAGTCTTTTTCAAAGGCTTTCTTCCCAGATTTGGCAAAAAAGGTAGGCATGTCAATTCTAGCATGATCTTGTTTGGGTATGGGCCTCTACCTTTCAAAATCAATGTTCATAGCATCCTAATAGCAAGTTACCGGGCCAGTTAGCTTTGTTTCAAAATAAAGGGAGTGCTGGTTTGATCATATCTGTTCAGAGACAACCAAATGAACATTTTTATTAAAGGGGGTAGGGCTATCAAAAGCTATAGTAGAATCCTTCAAAGATGTGAGGGTTATTTAGTAGGGGAAAACATCTTTCAAAATTTTACCTCAAATTAGCTTTGAGAGTCATGAACTAGTAATCAAGGTTTAAATTTTCTGTTATTCTTGTGATACCAGAAAGTAATAAAACATCTGGTAAAATTTAGTACCAATGGGTACTCAATAGTTTTCTAGGTTATAACATAGTCAAGCCCCTCATTCTATCTTTATTTTGTACTGTAAAATAAAAGGTTAGCTTTCTGTGTGCTTAACAGAGTAAAGCCAATCCTTGGAGAATTACTGAAGTTCAATCAGTATGTACACTCAGAAAAAATAATTTGAAAAAAAAAAATAGCTAAGTATGCTACTAAATGAAATGCCGGTACACTAAATAATGTTAAATATTCTCTGGGAGCTTATTTCAGTGAAATTACTTAGATTGTACATGCCTGGTTCAGGAGACGGGAGACTTAAAAAGTGGAAAATCTTAATCAAATTGGAAATGTGATTCCCAGCTTGAGTTGCTTGTTTTTCAAGCTCCACAGGAATACACACGGTGCATCCCTCTTAGCCGTAGTCAATGGCAAAGGACAAGGTATAATTTCCAGGGCAGATGAGACACGACTGGTGGTGTTCACTCATTCTCACAGCCCCGGATCTTTCGCATTTCTCTTCATAAAAGGTGCAGGGTAACTTTGTTGTTCTTGTTAGGGGTTGCTCAACTTTAGTCTCCAGGTCCAAGAAGAACACTGGTGACAACTCTTTTAGGAGGAGAAAGACTATTCCCATCCTCCCTCCCAGTTTTAGACACACAGCCACCTTCTCCCATGTGTTTGGACTCGTTCTCTATCCCCATGGATAACTTTTCTTCAAACAGCAGAGCCATCTGGTTACGCACAAGCAAATGCAGCCAGCTGACTCATCTTCACTCACCGGGAGAGTGGGCAGGCATCGTCCTATTCCTCGGCACCCTTGCCACCACTGCAAGACCCGCCGGGCTCTGGGCCCCCAGCCTTTCTCCATATTTGAGCTGTTTCTAGTTGGAGGTTGCCTTCTATTCTGGGTGGCCTTATATTTGGAACAATACGGTACAATCACTCAGAAAAATACTGTTTCCCAAGTCTCAAAAAAGCAGATAGAACAAGATGCTTAATGAAATGAACCACAATGACCACAATGGCAAGCTGTAACATGCACCTGCAGCTAGGGAAACACAAACATCGGCAGTCTGAAGTCTGTTGTATTACAGCTCAGACCGATTTCTTCTACGTGTTTGGCAAAAGTATAATTCCATTGTCAAGTTTTCAAAAAGAGTACATGGTAAAGGTAAAATGGCAGAAAAATCTTGAAGCCATTTAAACATTATTGCATGGGTTTTACCTGTGAGAATCAGAATTTCCATACGTCTTCCAGGTATCTAAACTGCAGAACTTCATAGAAGTTACCTTTTTTCCCCTCTTAATAATGGGAAGCTGAATGCCCTTTTGTTCAGAAACTCAAGGTGGGAATAATTTCAATATGCAGAAAAACTGACACTAATCAAAGTTTTGACAAAATTGCTGCACACTGAAGAGGATGTAATCAACTAAGAAGCCTCCACTGCATTAAAGTAATTATTTTACATAGAATTTTTAATAATCATGTAGATTCTCTATTAATCACTTAAGTCCCAAATGTCTATGTTTATTGGAACTAGAGATCACACAACTAAAAAAACAAAAAAAGCAAAAAAGCAACAAACACCGGTTTTCCTAAATTTCAGCTTTTTTTCTCCATGGTCAAATAGTATCATCCTATGAAAATAATCAGAAGCAAAATAAACTTATTTGAACATGGTTTCCTTGCAAAACCAATTTTTCATCAACTATTGACACAGAACACTGTCCCAAAGAACAAGGAAAAAATATTATGGAAAATTCACAGGCTATTCCAAAAATGCTAGTAGCTAAATGTTGAGGTTAATTTGGGGAAACTAAATAATATTTTCATTCATTTTCTTGGAAGTTAGTATGTGCTTCTAAATGGTGCTGGCCTAATTTTCACTTGTTTTGAATTTTTGGATGCTGAACAACAAAAATGAATAATGGTCTTAAATGAAGTTTTTTAAAAAGGGTATTAGTGTCTAGCAATTACTACTCACTCTTTTCTGAATATGAATTCAACCCTAGTTCCTACCAAATAAGTCATGCACATTCTATTCTTCACATAACAGGAATAATTATAAACTTACATTTGGGTAATAATGATGATTTCAACGCTGATATGAATATTGTTTTGATAGATTACACACTTATATATGAAATACTATTTCCATCATCAAAAGAATTATATCCAACAGTTTACAATATAATTCTTACACTGAACTTGTAAATATTTCTGTGATTAATGAGTACTGCAAACTGTATACTTTTACAAATAAGGAGATCTATCATCTGGATTTGGTTCTTTGCATGGCTTACGCATCTTAGATCTTATGTGTTCGATTCAACAACTAAGTAAAACATTCAGGAATTCTATTTTTCATCCTTAGTGTTTAGAAAGGCTAAATCCTAATGCCTGTCCACTGTGAGAGAACTTATTGCCAAACCTATGAAGTCTAAGGTTGCATCTATAACCATTCAGATTCTCTACAGAGAATGCACAATATTTACCCAGACAGTATATAAAATAACAGATACACAGGTAAATCTTATTTATAATATAACTAAAGTATAAAAAGAAACTTATATCTCAAAAAGGAAGGAAATATATATGGACCAGACTTTTGTGAAAGAATAAAATGTTTGATGCAATTCTTTTAAAGGAAAAAGTACTCTTTGGAACCAGGATTATTGATTTCTTATTCATATAAGCAACTTGTTTAAAAAACCTAGGCACAAAGAAAAATGTGTTCTGGGCCAACCATCATCTTTGACCTTCAAATAAACTGTATCTGAATGGCATTTCTATACTAATGAAGGCTTAGCTCTTGGCCAGGATTGGAATCAATCAGTCATGGTGTTTTCTTGAATACAGCTTTGTAAACCTCAGCAGGTCAGTTGTTGGAGTTATTTCTGTAAACTTTGGGGCTCAAAAGTGGGGAAGCTAATTCTGGTCATCAGTTGGAAAAACAATTCCAAATGATCTGAGGGGCTTCTTTGTTTTTCTTGGTCTTGTTTTCAGTGATTTTTCCAAAATTTAAAAGTTACAAAAGAAATACCTGAGTGACCCCCACCAATTTCATAAGTTTGTATATTGGTCAGCTACTTTATATACAGATACATGGCACAACTAACAAATTATTTTAGATACTGGGATGATAACACCCTAAATAATAAGAGAAAGTAATACTTTGACCAAGATTGTGTGGGATATAAATTACAGATTATTTACTATGTGGTAAGTGCCCATGATAGAAATCATGAATTCTAATGCTGTAAACAAGCACTCTTGTTCAAGAAATAAAAGTATCCCTTCACATCACAGAAAATATGAGTACTTCTATGGCTCTTACCAAGTATCTGAAAGACTTTCCATGAAAGTTGAAATTTTGTAAATCTTTAATTATTTTAAGGGCAATAATACATGTATCCTGCAGAGTCAATGAAGACTAAAGCCCAAATTTTAAAAGAGCATCTAAACAAACAGAATATATATTATTTATTATCTTGCTGAGTAAAATTATTGTAATTTGTAATATTACTTTCAACAGAAGTGGCAGAATTGAAACTGTTGTAATTAACTTGTCATTTTGCTATTTTGTTATTATGTTTTGGTTATAGGTATTTTTAGTAAGATTATTTTAATTAGCACTCTGAAAGTTTCCATTCTTTTGTCCTACAGAAGAACACATTAAAAGACTTAGCAAGAATATTCTCCTTTTTCCCCTATTATACAAGCAGTAAAATAAAAGCAAAGTAGGAGTCTGAAGTATTTTAAGATTATTGTTTTCAAAGCAAAAAGATGTATGCACTTTGAGTACAATAGCAAAATAGATCTTCCTCACAGCAAGACAACAGTCTTGAAAATTGCATCATTATTTTAAATTCTAATGAGATCCATATGATTTTCCTTTCAAATAAGAATGATACTAATTGCTAACATGATGCAATGGGCATAGATGTATCTCATCTTGTCTAGTCTATTTCCACTCAGCTATCTCCACCTTATAAGCAAGAATAACCAGTAGAACAGTTTTTAGAAAAGAGCAAAAATTATACAGGAAATGCAGAGATTTGAACCATCCACTTATATCTATTGTTTCATTAGTTAAGTAAATACCCAAATTAAAGGGTTACATAATTTTAAGAATAGCTGTGTACAACTCAGTCCTTTTTCATAAAATACAATGATATTCCAACAATCCTATTGCCAAATGTAAATAATTTTTGAAGTTTAAAAAATTATTCTAATTTTACACATACTCCTTTGCATAATTATAGACAGGAATTATATAATGTGACTCAATAAGAAAAAATAACTTGTAGATAAACAAGCAAATGGTGAAAGAATTAAAAATCAATTTTTTCTCAAAAGTTTCTATACAAGTGTGCCATAGTCTGTTTTATTCCTCTAAAATTCTAAAAACCTCTGTAAGGGGGATATTATGAGATCTTGTGGAAAAAGAAGAGCTTCTGAAATTTGTAATGAAAGAGAAGTGAAAATTAAATCCTAAAAGAAAAGGGAGCTATCCAGGTTGCATCCTTTAATCACCAGGCACCTCAGCAAACTGCAGAAATACACGGGGCGTGGGGGGGGGATGTCTCTAAGAACTAGCCATTGCAAGCCTCAGTAATAAAGAATTGTAAAGCAAAAAGTTATCTATTCCCATTACCTTAAAAAAATCAGAGTCAGTCTGACTTTAACTTTTACCTTGCTGACTTTGAAATAAGAGATGGGGAGATGAATTTTCACATGGACAAATGTGTGGCTTTTGCAAGAGTCAGAGCCTAGGGACTCAGGACATCCCAGGGTCAGATGTTGGATGGTTCTCCAAACTGCTCTGTACTGAAACATGAATTCAATATGGCATCTTTAACCACTATCCATAACATTATCCCTTCAAACTATGACCATTCTATTAGTTTTCATGTATTTATTTAAAGATGTACAAATTTCTTTAAGACATAGTAGTTTCTCTCTTCGTTCTTGCTCTCAGAGTTTTGGGTCCTATATGTAAATGAAGAAAACAACTTGCAAAATAGAAAACTTTTGCTTTTCTCAAATTTATGGGAATACATAAAATGTTATTCCGTGAAGAAATATAATAATGAACATTTTTAAAGCATATTAAAAATTACAAAAGATGTTCACCTGGAATTTAATTTGTGGTCTCTGCAATGAAGAAAATTACCTGAAAATTAAAATTTCCAGAAAAAGTTTATAGTCAAGGAATTTTTTTTTAAAATAAAAAACAAAGTGCTTCCTGAGAAGTTTTGTTTTCTACTGTAGTGTAATGAAAGATAAATTCACTGGGCTGCTTATTGAACGTGTGTGTGTATGTATATATGCATACACATGTATGATGTCTCTGTATCAGATGCTTCATATATATATTATATACACACACACTCCATTGATTAAAATCACAATAATACTATAGTGTCCTATAAAATGCAGGCTTTTCACTTGATATAAATCAGATGTAATGCACCTAAAGCAAATTTTTAGAGCCCAGACTTCTTATTTATTATAGGAAACCAACTATGAAAGCCTGAAGATTGATTGGCTTAAAGTGGTTTCCTGGCTGAGGCTGCTTCTTGGACCCTGCTACTATCAGAGCAAACACCAAGCACCAAGAAGCCGAATTCCGGCTCCCGGAACTGAGCCCGCGGGGGCTGCTTCTTGGAGCTTACACTTATAGGAGCTTACACCGAGCACGGAGCGGCCAAGTTCCAGCTCCCGGAACTTCCCTGGACCGGGGCTAGGAGCCCGCGGAAACTGCGTCTCGGTCCAGGTCCTGCTGAGGGCTGGTCAGGACTCACCCGTTGCTTGGGTTGCCCGGCAAGGGGAACGAAATGCTGCCATTCGCATAGGATACCAACATGGCAGAGATCTGATGTCAGCAGAAAGCGGTGGAGGAGAGATCT